TCGACCATTCACATCTTTTCTTCCATTTGATGTTTGTGGAACAATATTGCCTAAAATTATTCTTAAAAGTAAAATTTGTGTGTTTTCTCCTTTTTTTAAAAAAACAAAACGATGAATTTAACTAAAAATATTAGTTATGAAATTAAATTTGATATAAATTACATTCAAAATTGCAATTTAAAATAGATTTTTACCATGACTATCCAAAATATTGTTGCCGATAGTTTCATATTTAGCATTTCTTATACCTGTACCAAACCATTGTGTTAGCACAATTGATCGTTGTGTTTTTCCTAGTGTGACAAGCAAACTGATAAATGATAGTAGTAATAGTGGTACCATGATAGCTGAAAATTAACGAAATTTATAGAAAATTTTAATCGAAATTTATAGAAAATTTTCATTGTAGTAATTAAAATTTACTTTTCAAAAAAGTGCCATTTTTATGTTTGCAGTTGCATTATAAACTAAAAAGTAGTTGCAAAGCCATTTTGAACAAAAAAAAAGTGAAAAGAAAAAAGGAATAAAGCAAAAAGGGAATTGAATTTGGTGAAAGTGAAAAAGATGGAACATTTGCCATACGAAAAAAATTTATGAATAATTGAAAGAGAGAGGTAATTCATTTTCCAATTTCTTCTCAAACAGTTTATAACTAAACTAATATGATGACAACAACTTTATTTTTCATCTTTTCCACAAAACAAGTTTTTCACATTTTATCATTAAAAAACAGTGAAGCATTTTAGCTACGAGAAGAGAGAAGACAACCCACTCGAGTTATGAAAAAAATTGAACTTATGAAATTAAAAATGCTTGAAATGCTGTGTTCATCTTCGAAGAGTTGAAAGATGCAATCACTAATAATAAATAATCTGTTTTGAAATGTTATGCTTTATTAAATAATCGTCAAACTTTATTGGAATACGTTTTTTGTTCTGATATTGCTCAAGTTTTCGAGATCAAGTCGAATGGCAGAAGTAATTCAGTGAAAGTCGAAGTTTGATAAAATAGAGGGTCGTTGATTTCTTTGAAAGAGTTGTTATTAATTTTGATAAAAAACAATAATTGTGTTTTCTAAAATCTCAACTTTTATCTGTTCCTTTCTATAAAAAGTGTAATGGAGCTTTCCAAATTGGAATTCCACTACAATTAATAATTTTCGAATATAGACTTTTTTAATGAGATCTTAAAAATTGAACAAAAAATCTTGGTTCTGTTCAAAATATGAAATTGTGAAAAAAAAAAATTAGAAATTCGAATGAAGTTAAAAATGTTGCACTGAAATAAATTGAAGTTGTGCCTGTCAATTTTGATTATTTATTTCAATTTCTGCTTGTGAACTGGAATTGATTTGCAACTTTTTGGAACTGAGACTTGTCACGTCTCGCATAACTATATTTCAATCAGATGGTACTTTAATTTCAAATCATTCATATTCAAATGTTTTTAGCATAAATTACTTGTAAAAGAGTTGCAAAAGAGATTTTGTTAATAACTCTGAACTCGTTCTGATTTGTAAAAGTATTTGTTGTCGTTATTTGATTCATTATCACTTTCATTGTTGTTTTTGTGGTATCTTTTTACCTAAATGATAAATTTTTGAATTTATTTTAATTAAAAAAGGAGAAACTTTTAAAAACAGCTTTTCAAAACACTTTTTTTCTGCTTTTTTTAAAAACTTTAATCAAATCGATATATTATTACCTATCTGAAGCAGGCTTGTTATCATCGGATTACAAAAATTTTTAATATCTGCAAGTAATTATACTAAAGAAACTGAAAGTAATAATAAACAAAGTAGATAACTTTGTAATTACAAAAAGGATCTATGTGTGTACAATATCCATTTATGTATTCTCATACAATTTTTTTTCACAGTACTTATTTTTATTCTTTCTACAAACTATTGTAAAAAAGAAGAAATGAAAAATGCAATTATTCAAATTTGATTATTGACACATTAAGCAACAGTTAATAATCAAACATAAAAATAACTAAGAAATTATGCAATTCTTATATTTTAGTCTATAAAATATAACAATTACATAATTGTTGCTCATTTCCTTTTCCAATTTATTACTTTCATTCCCTGTTTTTTATCGACTTTTTGTTCATTTCAATACTTGTAGTGTTTCGATTGTTGTCTCATTTTAAGTTGTTTCAGTCTTATTATCTTTATTTTATTTATATGATTTCTACTTTCAAAACTATCTTTTTCATCCTGAAATTAACGGTATTTTATTTTTGTTTCGTCTTCAAATATATTCTTTTTAAACATTTTAATTCGTTTGAGATCTAAAAATGAGTTGGAAATTGCTGATTGAATTTCAAATATTTCTCAAACATTTTTTCCTCATCCATCAGCACTTGCAATTCATTGATTGTTTTTATCATTTTATCAGCAAAAAATTTGTATTTCGGCGTTGCATTTCGATTTGCTATCATTAAATATGCATTTCATAGAATTGTCGCGGAGCTCGTCATAGCAAAATTTGCGTCGCGCAGTAATAAGCTGTTTTCAAATAGTTCACGATCTAAAAATACGACAAAAAATAATTATTATTTTGCAACGCAGTAATGGTGAAAATTTAAATATTATAGAAATCATCGCAATTTTTAACATTTAATCTTTTAAAGTGGTAACTGAATCAAATAGACATAACTTGAGAAATTCATTTAAATCAATTGAATTAGAAATGAATATTACCCATTCACCTTGACGATATGCCCTGGGTAGCGGTTGTGTAACCTTAGAAACTGAATCATAAAGTTCACATGCCACATACAACCATGCAATAAAATCATCGAAACGATTTTGCTCTCGACTTGTTGATGCTCAACCACTGGCCCGTTCTGGTGTGCCACGAAATGGACATGTTGATCGTGGTGTTCGATACTAAATTACACAAATATCCCAACTAATTTAAAGATATCATTATTATCATATCATCGCCATGTTTTTTTTCCATCTCAGAATATTGTTTGCAGCGAAATTATCGCAGTAATTTTATTTGGTTATAAAATTATCGTTTAAGTATTGCTTTTTTTGTATCAAATTAGCATAAAAATTACTTTTCTTTTTTTATTAATATACTTGTCATACCCAAATTGAATAATACAACGAAAGATTGATAAATACTTAATATATCCATATCATCCGGTTTCAGATCGTGATTCAATAAACCCTCACGATGTATGTCATGAATTCCTGCGTGAAAGTAAATCCCAACTCGGAATTCACATTTTATAGTTTTTTTTTTCTAACTAATCCTTTCGATACAACAATTTCCCAAATAATTTCAGAATATTTACTTTATGTTAGTTATGATGATAAGCATTAAAATGTATGTATGCTCTTGTTGTCATAGATTTAAGAAAGTAAAAAAATTAAGATGATAAACTTTTATTTAAGATTTTGTGATGAATTTTGAATTATTACATGCAAATTATGACTCATAATCGTTCAACATTTGCATAGCTTTTGTAACAACGAGTATCCGTTTAAACCATTGTACTGTAAAATGATTCCATCACTTCTTTTATAAATGTAAAGCAATGAGTATCAATACTGCAAAATACATATGTATTATAATTATTAGACAATCTTGGAAATTGATATCGCGAACTTGAAATTAAATAATTTCCTTCTTTTTTTTGTTACATCATTTTATCAGTGAATAAACAATCATTTGATTGGTTTCAAAGTATTAAAAGTTAAAGAATAGATTAATGAAAGAAAAGGAAGAAAGGGTACTGAAATCGTTATTATACCGATTTTAATTTCATCATAATTTACAAAAAGATGCGCAATATTTATAGTTTAATTAAAATTAAATAAAAGAGTAAGTAAAGAGATGTTTGTTTATAAAATGATATTAAATCTGGATGACAATTTTAAACAAAGATGGAAAAAAAAGCATGATTTACATTGCTGACATTCCACAATTCCAATACCAGCTTTTTTCAAGTCCATAAATTCCATTCTTGCACCGTTTCGGTCAGAAACCATACTTTTATCCAACAATCGTACAATGCTTGCATTTGGATTCTACAGTATTTATCATATACCAGTGAATCCTAATTAAAATCTTTTCGTAATTTTTTCCAAGATATAATTAATTAAGGATATGAAAATTAATTAATGATTTATTTCCTGGCACTGAGTAATTTTTTAATTATTGATAAAATTCTTCTTTATTTATTCATGAAATTGCTTTACATTAAGTTATTGATGGTATAAAATCTTAAAGTTTCAAAAAATTCAACTTTAAGTATAAATATAATATGTAAATTTTGATCGAATCGATTGAATATTTAAAAATGATACATTTTTATAAATTTTTTCCAAAACAAATCTTTCCCATTCGGTAGCTTGATTACCTGTATCATTAATGGCTGATTTAGCAACATCTTTTGTACCAGTTTCTACATTACGTACATCAAATACCACATTTCATTAATTGTTTCCGTTACGTCAAGAAGATATGATTCAAAATTTTACGAAAGAAATTTTCTAAATGTAACTTAAATGGTTGAAAAAGTTAAACTTGCCAACGATGATTGAATGATGCAATGAAGCGCAAATGTTTAGCAAGCGCGTGCTTCTCTTCATTTTCCTGTAATTGACAGCATTTATGATCCAATACTTTGATTTTGATATTTATTCTGAATACCATTTCCAAATCTCGTACAGTTAACTGTAACATGAACGATATTTTATTTGTAAAAAAGAGTATTACTTATCTGAATGTATATTAAATATAACCCAAATAATTGCATGATAAGTATGCTAATTAATTAATTCATCAAAGCTTCTTATTAATAAATATGCTTTCCTCTTCTGGTTTAATCTTTCAAAAATATCATTTTAATGCTTTATGAATTATTGTTAAATGCGACTTGATAAGTAACAAATTTACTCTCCATCTGACCAAGAATTCGATTTTCACAGTTCAATTTGTTTTCCTCCGCTGTCATTTTTACCATGAATGGACAATAATTTTTTTTAAAATCTTTGACATTGATTTTAATTTTGTTTGCTGTGACATATCGTTTTCTACTTTTTTTTTTATCAAACTGCAAATTCGATCTATTCTATATCATAATATCATACCATAAAATATGTCATATGAAATGTAAATTTTTTTTCTAATTAATGAATAATTTTCAATGCTTATATTAAATTATTGCTATTGCTTAACACAGATACACTTAACATATAGATATTTCAATTAAGATATTTAAGTTAGCAATGAATTGCTTAATTGGAAGAGTTGAAAAAGCCTTGCCGATTTCTCTCCTCTCTCCTCGGTCCTTAAATTTGTTTTGTCCTCTTCAGGTCCCTATCATTTACTTTTTCGTGAATCTTACAGAATTGATAGTGATGGATTATTAAAAATCAATTATAATTTATTGCAATATTTTTCGCATTCAAATTTTATTATTTCAATTCATGGAAAAGTTGGCCGTGACCTTTGTATATGTGCAATGTTTTGTTTTGTTACTTTTTCTCAGTTCTTACCAAAAATAAACAAACTATTTCAGACTTTTTTTTTAGATTCAGTCTTTACAGAAAAGAAATTTCAATTTGCAATTCCAATAGTCAATATAATTCTTTCATTATTTTATAAATTGGTCTGAAAAACAGAGAGTTGTCAATAATAGATGAACGAAGTAAAGGAATAATACGCTTTCTATTGCGGCACTGAAATCAATTCCGATGGTGTGAAATGAAACCTAAAAGTAAAATCAACGATCATTTGCGAAGATTGCATCTGACAGCTGTCATTTTATTGGTCATTGGAAAATTTCGACCGATCAATGAACATTTTAAATTGACATTGACATTTGCTCAAATTCATATTTTTAGAATATTTTATTTTTGAATATTCTGATAAACTTTTTTTCTGACATTGAAATTTCTTTTTTTTGTGCCAAGAACATTTCAAGTTGACATTTTGGAATATTTTTTTCTGTACTAAGCAAAAAAAAATTTGAATTTTTTATGCTAAAGTTGAGGGATTGTTCATAAAAATTTTCTGTGGAATTTCTTTTTGAAAAAGAATAGAAGAAAAGAATAAAGTAAAATTTAGACAATTTATGAATCTTGTAAGCCATGTTATAATCTAAAAAAAATGGTAATCTTAAATCATTGGTTCTTAATTTTAAATAAAAATTGAAATTAATAAATTGAAATCGAGAGGATTACACATGGAAATTCTGAATTAGTAAAAAATTGTTGTTTTGAGCACAACTCTTATGTTAATTTCTTTGTTTTTTTCGTCATCTTGAAGAAGGTTGGAATTACAAATTATCCTTGCAATTACTTTCTTTTAAGCAAAAGCCTATCCTTTCCATTTGTTAATGGATAGATAAAAGATGAAATGAAACATTTCTGAAAAAATCAAATAAATCAACAATTATTGTTATTACATAATGAAGCGAATGAATTTAAACAAAAAAAAAATTACATGGAAGATTTTTGAAAATTTTATTATTATTAATTGATTAATATTTCATTTTGATTAATTGATTTTCGGATCAGATCCATTCTAATTGGTCATTTTAATTATTATACTTGTTTATAAATTGAAATAGCTGAAAATAATAAATAAGGCTCATCATTGATTTTATAAATATGCAATATTAGCAGAGCAAACAGCATCATCGATACCGTTGTCAATGACAACGTGGACCGATGATGTCAGGAACTGCCATCTTTTTTGTCCTTTTCATTGTCAACTTTTCCCGTATTTTTGCAGATATCTGCATAAAATCGATATTTTTACATTCCATTAAACCATTGAATCCATCCAATAAATTATTTTGTATTGTACACGAAAATGGTTAGTATTTTAATTCATTAACTATAATTATGGTATAATTAATGAAGAGAAGAAAAATAATGATTGGATTAGAAGAAAAAATTAGATCAAAAATATGCAGCATATTGATATCGCATGCAAATAGCAATATTAATAAATTGAATTGCTTTAATAATTTAACCGTTTTGATTAAAAGTTGATAGTGATAAGATTTTAAAATTTACTGTCCTGCTTCATTTCAGTTATCTTTTTTTTTAAATTTCGAAGATTAAGCATATTATAAAATTTGCTAAAGGTTAGATAAATAAGTCTTCACACATATACGATAACTGATGAGCAAAAATAAAAATGGCGAACGACTGAGGGAAAAAGAGAGTGAAAGTGAGGGAAAGAGAAAAAGACGAGAGGTAAATTTGCAAACTAAATAAAAATTTTTAGAAAATGTCGGGTTTACAAAAGCAACACCATTTCGAACAATAAGCCATTTTCAAAAGTATTTACCATCAGAATATGCTACCATTCCCTATCCAAAGGTAAGTAAAATTTCATTTGAATTATCGAGATTATCATAAGTTTATTATGAAATATTGATTTGGAATTTCAGGAAGAAATAATTGAGGTATGGGACGATGAAAAAGTGGAACCTTTTGAGTATCCAACAACGATATTTTCTGATCAGTGTGCTGGAACTGCACCACTTCGTTCGTTCCATTTTGTTTATTTTGATTTTCTTTAATCATAAATAAACATTGATGAAAAAATGGCTGGATTGAAAAAAGTAAACAGTTGTTTTAAATTTAAAATCATTGTTTTTAATCAATTCAAAGACAACGAATCTGCAAATTTTGTGCAATATTTAAAAATGTTGCTTGAAATTTCAGCTTTATCCAGGAATATTAGCATGACTTGCATGCCGCAATGGAATATATTTGATGAAAAGCATTGCACCGGTTTAAAATATCTTAATGTTAGCTATTATTTGCGCAAATATTCTTCGAAGGTATATAATTAGCAAATAGATTATTATTTTAATATTGTATTGATTACTGAAAATGGAATTTTTTTTAGTAGAATATTTAAGAATGAATTATTACTTGTTTTATAACTCATCCTTGAGAGGTCAAAATTTAGTCTAACTTAAGTTCATGAAAGCATTTACTGATACTATCAATGAAAGATAAATTAAATTTACTGCTGCATTCTTAATCCGATGCTGAAATTGATAATGGCACTATAATCTATTTATCATTTCAAATCATTTAGTATAGGAACTTTTTATATCCCGCGGATTAAAGATTACTCAGTAAGCGAGAAGTAAATAAGTATATTCAATTCTGATGTTAGAAATATAAAAGTGAATTTCAAATTTTTAAATGAGAAAAGTTCTTAGAGAGATGGAAATCGAACAATAGTATCAATAGAAGGTAATCCGGAAAAGAGTCATCTGATCCGTTGGTTATACTGGAATGGTACAGCCTGTATCAATGCCGTTTCAACGGTGAGCTTATAATGGGGCTAATATTAAAATATCAATATTTAAACAACAAAATAATTTAGCAATAATTTTTTTTTCGAAAAATTAGATTAAAACCAATTTTGATTTTAATTAGACGGTAGTTAATTTTAATAAAACATAAGTTTTATTAATAAACAAAATGGCGAAATCAAAAATCCTTTTGCAACTTGATAGATATAACAAGCTAATTTTAATATCAGTAAAATAATGCACAAATTACAGGTGTCGATTAAATTTATCATTCATAATGGATTATTGGAAGATATATCAGCGAGTGTACATTATGCTAACATAACCAAACAAAGTTATTCTCAACAATTTTATCAATTTGATGCAATTTTTATCGAAATTTCATCCACTTCAAATGCCATAGAAGCAGTGAAAAAACCACCAGGATATGATATGGGACAAATAATTCGAATTGAAAGCACCACAAATACGAAATTTTTAATTCCATCCGGAATGGAATGCAACAATCAGAAACAACAAATTAATATACGATTTGGTATTCAAATTAATACAGCCTGTCGTTTAAAGTATGCTTCTAAATTTTTCATGCTAATAAATACTTAATTGGCTTGCTATTATTATTAATCGATCGATTAATCGTTAATCGATTAACCCATTTTGAATGGCTAAATTATATCAATTTTTCTTAAAAATAAGTTGATTAATTGAAAATGTTAAATTAGAACTAATTTCATGCATACATTATTGAGTTATGCTTGATAAATCCAAATTGAATATGAAATTTATATTGTTGCATATGATAAGTCTTGTTTAGAATTACGACATGTGCTCAGATATTAGCTCAAATTGAACATTTACTCAATGAATGGAATAATATTATTGTCTACAGCTTACCATACGATACAAATGAAACAGTTACTATACGAAATGATAAATTTTTTCTTTCAAAAATGGTTA